AGTGACCCGGACGTCTACTAACAACTAATATCAAATAACAGTTGTTTCCACTTTAATAGGTATTGTATGTTACTATACTCAATAGTACATGGTGTAACTAGTTTGTTGATGTGACAAGGTGACCTGACGTACCGAAACACGTCAGTACTTCTTCGGAGTTCTAGGGGTTTTTTTTCTTATTAAACTTTTTACTTAATCCCTAACCTTAAACTTTAAACTGAATTCATACCATAGTCTAAATCGCAACCAATTGCCAGTATTGTAGGAAATATAAACAATCGTTTGGGAAATTGATATAGTTAATAAATTTTGGGTGTACTTTATCATTGTTGGTTAGATGACAGCTGTTCATGTAGCTCCAGTATGCTTTGAATTTTGATACGTTGGTGACGTATTTTTTATTTTGAAAATATTGATTATTTCTGGGTTAAAAAGAATCCTATTAAAATATTTATTCTGTATATGGAACAGATAACAATCTGTTTATCTTTCGGTTTGTATGTGAAATTTTCAAAACCATTAAAACAAAGTTTTAATTCTGGTATCGTGATGCAATAACAAGCGGCAACACGATTAAATGGCGTGAAATAATACTGATCTCACTGAACTGGAAAAATGTAAACTACAAACGACAAATATTATCAGTGAATTAGTTTATTATACTCTAGTTTTTCCCTAGAAATTTGAAATAGAATAGAAATACTTGTTAATATTAGTAAATGGAATGTAATAAAATCAAAGATAGAAGATTATGTATTTGTACATGGAATTGTAACAAAAATAGTGGAGGAAAAGTTACAATATATGATCTAAGCATATATTGTCAAGATCCACCCTACAATTTTGCCATTTTTGTCACATATTTGGCGTACTAATGTAATCTGATATTTGAGAGCCCACTCCAGTCCAATAGACACATTCCCGGCTGCTCCTTCGACAACATTCTATACTGGTGTGTGTTTTATGTAATACCATTTAAGATTTCATGTGTTAACTTTGTGGAAATAAATAGCTGTGAAAATGATATCTTGGGTGGATAATTTATTCTTAATATTAAAAGACATATGGGCAATTGGAAAAACTTCTGTTTTCTTTTGTGGCCATCCTTTTAACGTTTTGGCAGATTGTAAGACCCGCTTTCCATGTACGCTTTTCCCAATCTATTTCACAGAGGTATTGCAAAAGCCAGTTTATACCTCTGTATCTAGATGACTGACCTTTATAAGTTCAAGTATACCGACATCACATCATTGATTCTATGCCGCGTGTATTGCTTACATAAGACGTCGTGGCGTATACTGGTTCGGACAGAATGGTTCATTTTAGTCATTGCATATACCCATTTACACTACATGTATATAGGAATATTTTTAGCCGGATATACATCAAACACCTTTATCTATTCTGCTAATAATTCAAAAAGATGTTGTAGAATTTAATTTGCAGAAGGAAAAAAATTAATATTGCGAGCTCATTAACCCGCACTGATGTCATCCTCTCATGTCTAGGGAATGTTCACTGCTGAAACCGGTTCCATGTAAGCGTTTCCGCGCACGTTTTCTCGATGAACAACTTTTTCTCGGCGTTTTGTTCTCGCGTGGAGTTTGCACATGCGCGCCCAACCTGGTGTTTACTTTCTGGCGTACAAACACGGGTTCTCTTCCAATAAGTCAATCAACCGCGCTTGTTACTGCAAATGACAGATTTTGTGGACATGGTGTTCAGGCCGCGACTAAACGTAAACAATGTCGGACTCCATGCTGTAATGAGAAATCCTCACTTATGACCCCAAACTGTTCAGCGATTTTTCTTTACACATAGAAATGAAAAACGCGCACATGGAAAGTAAGCCTAAGACTGTATTTGTTATAAACACAAATCAAATCATTACTACCTGAAACAATATATTTATTTTACTCCTGTAAATAAAAATTCACTTGCAGTTGTTTAAACTTTGATTTTGTCTGGTATTGTTCCTTTTATCCACATCACAACTGAAACATATATTACCTCGTTCCACGTTAGGTATTGTTAAAATATTGCTAATCACCATACCCCTTTCTAAGTTATGGCCCGATTCACAAATACATCATTAATCTAATTGTATGTGTGATATACAACACACATAAACCACTGTTCTAATGTCGATTTCAAGCATTTAATCAACCCTGCTGAGAGTATTGTTATTTCGGATCAACGGACCAACCCAGGGGCGGATCAATATGCGGGGGGGGTCGACCCCCCCCCCCTACCAGCAATATTTTTTTTTTGTAAATCAACAATTTTTATGAGAAAAGTTTCTCGGCTTTATCGTCAGATGTGGGACAGGATGGGCACTCAAAGCACGAGAGACATTATGTGATATCACAATTAATGCTTTGCATCCATGAAATTGAATCACAATGTAATTGTATTAATTCATAATAAAAATTGACGTCAAACGAGGTGTTGAATTTCTCTGTTTAAAAAGCTCAGTGTGTATGTATATACGCCAAAATGACGATAGACCATGCGGGAGCGGGGGGGGGGGGGGAGATATATTGTCTCAGGAACCTTGCAAACATCCTCCTGCAAAAATTCCTGGATCCGCCCCTGCAACCGGCCTTCGGTCTAACTAACCTTTGGACTATAGGTCTGGCCTATATCGATTGCAAATTATAATAAATCACAGGGGTTTAAAGGGCTTTTTTAAACAGTAGGTAATATCCTAATTTGTGATCTTATAAAAGTATTGTCATCAATAAAACGAAACTGGGCATGAAGTGTTTAAAAAATGGTTTTATCATCTGGAGTGTTAAAATAGTTCGTATAATTCGATCAATCTTTTGAGTCTTTTATTTATGTAGTTATATAGATACAATAATTTACGAACATGGAGCTGCATGCTACTTATTAACTACTTATGTGTCAGTAACAGGAGAATTAGGGAACACGTTATAGATTAAATTTATCACACAATATATGCGTCAATGTACATATATGTGTGCCATCGATCAATCCCCCATGCTCGATGGCTATCAGCCTCAGTGGGACAGGAAAGCTTTTTGTGTGTGTGTGTGTGGGGGGGGGGGGTAGTTTGACTTTGCAACCAAAACTGTGCGTGGTGAAAACATTCTGCCAGCGTAGATAATAATAATAATTATAATGTACATTTGTAGAGCGCCAAATCCAAAAGCATGCTTAAGGCGCAATGAGACAATAGTTATATCCACGGTGAACAGCAAGTCTAATTCTCATGGCATTCAAGAAATAAGTGAGTCTTCACCTGTTATTCGAAAGTAGTCAAAGTTTCACTGTTTCTGATTTTTAGAGGTAAATAATTCCACTTTTTAGGAGAAGCTACACTTAAATTTTCGTCACCAAAATGTCTTAGTTTTGACTGTGGAACGACAAGAGTGTTCTGTTTATAAGATCTCAAGGACCTATTTGGTTGATAAAGCTTTATATTCTGATAAATAGCTGGGTGCAAGATTTTACAGACACTGGTGTGTGAGGCACGGGACCTTAAAGTTGATGAGAGCTGGAATTGGGAACAATGTACCGAAACACGTCAGTACTCCTCCTGAGTTCTAGTTGTTATTGGTATCTGATTTTCTCTGATTTCAGTCTCGGTTTTAAAAAGTTTGCAGTTTACAAACATTTAAGATCACAATTCTACATTTAGCCCTATAATAAAATTGTCAGAGGCGGCACTGACTAGCTTTAGGCCCTCGGACCAACTTATATCGCTGGACCAACTAGATCATTTTATTTTCCTCGGATTGAAGCTACTATATTTCTCAGTGCATACAAAGATGAATATGGATTTAAAATTTTAATTATTTGTAAAAAAGATATGTCAAATTATGTTTTGCCGATGGGCTTCTGGGTCGAGTCCGCCCCTGAAAACAGATGAGTAGTAACTGTAATTGTTTATCATTAGAACTACTTGCTCTCGACCAAAAATGTGTCGGGAGTTTGGCACAAATTTATGAAGAAAACGACGCGGGCTAATATTTATTTTTTTCAGAGATTTTTTTATTTTATTTCGGGATCCAACATCCAACTCATTTCCATCAGGCCCGGATTAAGCGAGGTACTGACTGGCCTATAACCAGGAGCTCCAATGTTAAAGGGAACCTAAATTTATGTTGTGATTATAATTTCGTGCCAAATAAATTGATCTATCAGCCATCCTGACATGTAAATTACATTTGTGTGATGGACAATGATCAGAATATGCCCGTTTTTCACCTCTGATACAAAGACCCCGGTGACCATTTTCAGACAAGGACCCAGATTTCTACTGATGACTTCCAGATTAAATTTCGCAGCCGGATTAATATTTCCATAATATTTAGAATCAATCAATCTGTCTTTGTTTTATTTATTTCGCTAAATGAATTTAGGAAAATGAAAAATCATGTATCCAAAATTACAACACGGGGGACGTGTTTAACTTTTAGCATACTCAAGGCCAATACGCTAATCGTTACTCCGAACCCTGTTGCCATTTATTCTTTCACCCGTAACTTAAAGTAAACTTTTTAAACCGGTGCCACGGCCGGTGTCTAAATGTTGATCGTCATCTCGTTCTTGGGGTGGCGTCACTTTTTAAGCGCTATTTCTCCCTCATTAGCGAACAGAATCGAATAAAACTTGACATGATATACCCTTGTAAGGAATACCAGTCCCTTTTTATGCTTGATTTTCTTTACTCGGGGGTCTTTGGTTCTTGATTGTTGCTAACTATGTTCATGTTCAGGACCTAATCATAACACCTCAACAAAGTGTCAATGTATCGTATGTCATTGTTCCGATATACGTCAAATCAATTATAGCATCTGCACGCCTCTGCGTCGTATTATTAAATGTCGACACAATGCCTTAACAATTTATAACTACTGGAATATATCATATTTGACTATCAATCAACTCTGGCTATATATAATCTATATGTCTCCTGTTGAAGTAATAAGGAACTTGTGGTTGTTTGGCTAAGTTTTCAACAAGCCTTCGACGATCAATGGCTGTACATTTTATACCCGACACTGATTGACATTTCAAAGCCTGCCTTCCTTATTATTTATTCCTTTGAATACTTCGCTTATTTTCTCTTGTCGGTCGTCTTTCGACAAACTCTTTACTACTCTAACCGGTAAGTAGCTAGCTTTTGTATTGATATATATTTTAAATTTGGACTAATATTGTAACCACCCGTTTCTATGCCCCGCTTTCTTATAGATCACTTTTCGGAGTAGAAATTTTAACAAACAATTTGTGTAGTCTACTTAATGGGTCTATTCATTGGGTCACAAGACAAATCCATCTCACAATTATTCAGAACACTCTTTTTAGGACTTATTCATCATTCTGAAAGTTTGTGAGAACCATGCATATAATCTCATAGAAATATTTGGAGTTGGTATGTTATCCTTGTCGAAATTTTATGGCATGATACACCCAACAAGTTATGATTTTCTTCTTTGCCGTGAACTCGGGCACTTTCTGTTCTCTCTTTCACTATAAGGGATAAAGACTTCAAACACTTCTCCAATAGGCAACACAACAATTTAAAATTACAATTACTTTCAGTGTATCCACATTGAACGGATGTTAAGGTTATTAATAAAAAGGGAGTAAATTATCAGTCGTAATACAGTTATATGGTTCAGTAGCAGCTTATCAAAAAGTAATCTATCAATGGGAAATACTCCATTAACATTAAGTAAAGCCGTTATAGTTGCTCTGTTTAAAATAATATGGCGACTGTTAAATTACTGTATTGGGCTTTGGATGAACTTTAAAATACCTATGGACTAACTGTTCGTCTGTCATTATAAAACAAATTCAGTATTCTAAATACGAACAACTACTGTTTAAACTATATATTAAATTAAGGCGCTAATTGCTTCCCATATATAGTCAAGATTATGACCTTCGTGTTTCAGAATAGTTTTCAAGTTATGTTGAGGCCAGTTAGCAAGTTCTGTAGTAGCTTATCACAAAGCAATTTATCAATAACAAAATATTTTATTAATGTTAATTCAAGCCATTATATAGTAGTTGTTCTATTTTAAATGGAATGGCGATTGTTAAATTACTACTGCATGCGGGCTTTGGGTGGACTTATTATACAAATTACCTATAGGCAGCTAGTAGTCTGTCATTTTAAAGGTGGAATCAATATATTGTGTCTGTATATATTACAGTATCATCGTTAGATTTACCAGAGAGTTAAAAATCGAATAGAAATGAAATTACACGGAGCAATATGTGGTTTATTTCATATGATGTTGATTTCGTTTGATCTTGTGAAGGCACAGACAAGGTAAGTTTATTGATGGTAATTATTTTGTTAATTCAAGATAGCATGATGATCCTTTCTCAAAATCTTATGGTACCTCGCTCGATATGTCAATCAAACAATACAATATAAAACATTCTATTTGTTAATCTATAAACCATACCATCTAGAAATTTGATATCAGATGGTTGGGGGATAATAACACATCGAATAAGGAGTTTCAGCAAATTTGGATACGGACCAGTGTTGTCATAATACCACGATGACTGCACTAACGCTAAACATGAGCATCAATGTTAGAAGTCAGTGTTTACTTTGTAACTACATTCTCCAAGTCAAATAAGACAGAATTGCTAGAAAAAAGTTTGAAAAATTGATATTGATTGATACTGATGCATGTATGTATCATTTTAGGCTGTCAGATAAGATTTCTATACTATCATTTTACGAAATAAGAATTGGAAAATGTGAAAATCTTCTAGTCTCTACTGTAATTAATGTTTTTAGCAACTAATTAACCAACTAACCTACCGATCCGTTTTTACGCACCAGCTTATTTGTTAATCAAAAAAGCTGATTATGTTTCCTTATTAAAGACACAATATCCCATGCTAAAAAGGCGAATATAGAATTTGTGTACATATAAATTGAAAAGCTGATTTATTAAAAAGCATGTTGTCTTAAAATCCATTACAATTAATCATTCCTGACCAAGGTTATTTAAAATTCCCATTTTTTTTCTATTCATTTCATTACGTCACAATTTTCTGTCTTTAAACGCCGCCCAACTACTGAAGAATTACTCAATTATATCCAGTTAGCATCCAGGTCATAATGACATCTTGATTTCTATCTGAAGAACACTTCTCGGTCCTGGGGTTGGTTTAATTGTAGTATTAAAATGACATATTGAGGCTTTAATACGTTTGTCGAAAAGCCCAAGAGCACACTTGTACGCCGTAATCTCAGTTAATGGACATACAAAAACATGTATGGGTTGTATTCTATAACGAACTAACGGTAATAACAAGTAGAATGCAATCACGTGATTATATCGCAAGTATTAAAATAATATCACCATTTACCCCCTATCTTTTGGTCGGTGTCTTTTGAGGAACAAGTGGTCATTTAGAAAAAATGGAAGCTGGGAGATTTATTTAAATTCTTACTACATCAGTGCTCTCTTGTTTTAATGCTGTTTCGGAAATTGTGTCCAATACCATTCCAATGATGTGGTTTTCATCTAAGCTCCATACAAGATTGCTAGGATTGCAAGGATTATGCTTTAGGTACATTATTTTAGTCTGCTCGTTGAAGAGTATTCGGTGATAATCACTAAGGTGTCTGTGTAGAATAATAATATAAATCTCTACATAATGGAACATAATGCTGGAAAAAATTATAATTTATTTTCTTCTGATTTCTGTCTATTATCTATATCACACGTATAGACTTACCAGATCTTAGTAAGTCTAAATTATCTATCGTAAATGATAAATATATAAGCTATGGCTAGTTTATTAATCAGGTTTTATATAATACATAGTTAACCCTGTCGTAGATTGAATATAAATGTGCAATGTATAAACAGTGCAATGAACTGCGACCATGGCGGCATCACTCACAATCGTCAGTGGCACAGGAATGGCGTCAGATCATTCGGATGCAGACAAAACCTGAGGTTCCCTTTGTACTGTGGCCTGCAGGTAAAAGAAGCCTTAGAAGTTAGAATTCTTGAATTCGAAAGAAGAGTAGTCCGTCTTCATTAGCCCTTGTGAGGCATAACAGTACTTTCATGTTCGCAAAGAATTTGTGTCTCCATGTAAATAGAGAGATATGAAAACGTTCTTCCTGATGACTTCCAACTTTGTAACATAAAATAACAAAGTTATTGTTATGCTGTCGTCTGGGCACTTAACCACATCTTAAACACGTCGTTAAAGACTAATGGAGTGGTCAGCTTAATTCTGTGTATAGCCTGTCAAATCATTTTGGTGATAATCAAAATCAAGTTCTATTGACTCTATGGCCACTTAATTGAAACCACAAATGTAACCAAAACGTGTTTTACATGCCAAAGTTTACTGTTTATAGACGATATATTGGCGCTGTTAAAAGAAAGTAACTGTTATATTGCATGATAAGTTGAGAAGAAGAATAGATGACGTATGTTATGAGATGTAAACTAAAGGGCGGTTGTAATAAATTGTCTGTAAAACTTACTCTAATGTTATCATCCAATTTCAATCCATTTGAACGCACCAAGAAAAAATGTTAAAATCAATGTCTACTTGCACTCTAGTTTTAAGAGGCGGTTTTGGGTTGTTGATGTTTTTTTTTTTGTTTTTTTTTTTTTTTTGGGAGGGGGGGGTATTTTACAACATTAAATACACAACTTTGTAAATATTTACTGACGTCAAAAAGAAACCTTGCCAATACTTTTAGAGACTCCTGAAAACTCATATGCTGACCAGATATACAATCTGGGACATGTATTTGGGCATTAGTTGTATTTGGATTATATATGTAACATCGTTTCTGTTTCTTTATCCAAAATATAAAAGGTTTTAACATACAAGTAACATTTTCTTCGTATAGTTTCTTTAGTACGAAATGTCGTGCACGTAATCTGAGTATTTTAAGAAAATAAACTTTTCAGAATATCTTTCATATTTTCTAGAATACATTTTGCAAGATTGTTCTGAATGTAACGTTATTCAATTACTCTACATTCTTGGTGTTAGGGATGGCCCCTTTAATGTTCGTAAAACGAGTTATTGTCTCCCTTTGACGTGTCTTGTGACTAAGCGGTAAACAAATAGACATATATATTAAATTTCAAATTTCCACCATTCAAACCACAGCAAATATGTCATTGTGTACGACTTCCAAGTGGGGCAATTCGTAATTTCCAAAGATAGCCTACCGGACTACGAAACTATCCGAAGGCGTGTTGTTCTGCACCAAGACGGTCACACGTCATTTAATGAACAACGATGGAACATGGCCGTGGAGGAAAATTATCTTTTATCAACCTATATTCTGAAACCTGTCGTACACGACAATGTGACCAATTCAATCAATATATTGGGCCTTTGTCGTAGAAATAGTATAAAAAATAGTACTAATAAGACAGTTTCTTTGTTTCACCGGCCGAAACGTTTTCTTGCTGGATTATTCATTTCATGGTCATTCATTTTCTCGAAAACAATCGTGCTTGGGTTTTCTATACGCCCACATTTTCATGTGGACGTATATTGTCGTCGCCCCTGTTTGTCCGTCCGTCCGTCCACAATTTGTTTGTGGACACTCTACAGGTCACAAATCATATCCGATTTCAACGAAACCTGAAATATGGCTTTATCTCCCTAAGATCTCAGTTCCTGTCAATAATGGCATGTATCGGAAAATAACTTCATGGATTATGGTCCCTGATTGTACGAAAAATCACGTTTTTAGCTTGTGGACGCGCTAGAGGTCACAATTTTGATCCGATATTGATGAAACCTGAAATGCATGTTTATAACCCAAAGATCTCGGTTCCTTCCGATATTCGCGCATATCGGATGGTAACTTCCTGAATTATGACCCCTGATTGTACGAAAAATCGCGTTTTTTGCTTGTGGTTCGTCCAGGGGTCACAATTTTTATCCAATTTACAAAAACGTTCACATATATCACCGTTACACCGTAATGAAGGTTGAGTTCGAATTTCGTGAAAATCGGACCAAAACTGACGGACAAAATGGCCGCAGCTTTTACGCGAATAGTATAAAAAAAAAATATGGCATATCAAGGTTGTGGACCCTGTAGAGGTCACAATTTTAATCCGATTTTGATGAAACTTGCAATTCATGTTTATAATCCAAAGATCTTGGTACCTTTTGATATTTGCGCATATCGAATCGTAACTTCCTGAATTATGGCCCCTGATTGTACGAAAAATCACCTTTTTGAGCTTGTGGCCCCTCTGGAGGTTACAATTATTATCCGATTTAAAAAACCGTTTGATTATATCACCGTTACATCGTAATGAAGGTTGAGTTCGAATGTCATGAAAATCGGACCAAAACTGCCGGACAAAATGGCCGCCGCTTGTACGCGAATAGTGTAAAAATATGGTTATGAAGGTTGTGGACCCTGTAGAGGTCACAATTTTAATTCAATTTGATGAAACTTGAAATGCATGTTTATAACCCAAAGATCTTGGTTCCTTTCAATATTTGCGCATATCGGACCCTAACTTCCTGAATTATGGCTCCTGATTGTACGAAAAATCGCCTTTTTTCGCTTGTGGTCCCTCTGAAGGTCACAATTATTATTCGATTTCAAAACACGTTTGATTATATCACCGTTACACCGTAATGAAGGTTTGAGTTCGAATTTCGTAAAAATCGGACCAAAACTGACCGACAAAATGGCCGTCCCTCGTACGCAAATAGTGTAAATATCTGGTATATCAAGGTTGTGGACCCTCTGGTGGTCACAATTTTGTGCCGATTTGATAAAACTTGAAATGCATGTTTATAACCAAAGATCTTGGTTGTTTTTGATATTCGCGCATATTGGATCGAAACTTCGTGAATTAGGGCCCCTGATTGTACGAAAAATCGCATTTTTAGCTTGTGGACACTCTAGAGGTTACAATTTTGATCAAACTTGAAATGCATGTTTATAACCCAAAGATCTTGGTTCCTTTCGATATTCTCTAGAGGTCACAATTTTTTTTTTTTTAAATCCGTTTAGATCTCTTTTCCACCATAATGAAGGTTGAATTGGAATTTTGGGAAAATCGAAATGAAACTGCCGACAAAATGGCCGCTCTTTGTATGCAAATTGTATATTAGTATGTAATTCAAAGGTTATGGACCCTCTAGAGGTCACAATTTTTATCCAATTTTGATGGAACTTAAAACATATCCTTATATTCCAAAAATCTCAGTCCCTTTTGATATTTGCGCATTTCAGACCATAACTTTCTGGATTTTGACCCCTGATTGTACAAAAACTTGTTTTTGTTTTAG